AATATTTATTGAGCACAAAATTCCACAAATGAGAATGATATGCAATGTATTGGTATCTAAAGGGCGACATATTCCCATCTCCCATTTGTTGCAATATTGCTCAAGTCATGAAATTGGCAAAAAGTAGGTCCTCACGAAACTTTAGTCGTTTAGAGTATGTATACACAAAGACATGTCAGTGACCAAAATGCGAACAGTCTCCTGTTTTCAGCACAATTTTATGCTTACTGTAAAGGAGTTGCCTGCACTGCTACAAATGTCTTCCTTTTGTCATTATCCCCAGTTAATAAAGTGGCGGGAAATGGTTCCACCACGAAGCGAGCTTTCACATATCTACTACACATGCTCTACAGGGAACCAACCCCATCCTTGAGGGGCTAGGACATCCCAGTGCGCTGTTGGTTCAATATTGGGCAGTTTGACAAATGGTGAATTTATACTTTGTACCAACACCCGAAGGCAGAAATTTAATCGGCCATCCTGTAGATTCCACTTTAAAAAGCTGGGAGTGCAGATAAAAGCTCCGCTTCCACACCGATTGCAAAACGGGTCGGTTCCAATAGCCCAGCTCCCAAAGCACAACCACGCTTGACTCGCTGCATGCGACAGTTTTACTACTCCAGTTGTCATTCTGCTGCTAGAGCTTGTATGGCCGGTGACTGTAGTCATGGCTAAAAGAAATAGGAACGTACAGAGTGCCTGCTGTCTGGAACCTCCAGGACCTTCTAGCAGCATTTCTAGCAGCTTCAGCAAGACAATCGGTGCTTTGTGCCATGTTATGAACCCCGCCTCTGGTTTAATCTGGGCAATGCTACATTTACCTCCTTGGTAGATGGTGAGACTCCATAATTTTTGTTCATCATAAACAAAAGCAACCATGTTTCTAATGATTGTGTGGGAAAAGAAGCACAAAATACTATTGTAATTCGCAGTACAATGTGCCCTATGCTAGCATGTGGTCGCTGTATTAAGATCTGACTGCATAACTGAAGATAGTGTTATTTTGATTCGTACCATGCAAGCTGCAGTACCAGCGGATTAATACATGATGATGCCCCTTTCTAGATGGAATTAGGATGAAGTCAATCGAGTGACCTGGCAAAATTTAACAATAAAATTTGCAGCTCTAACAGCAGCAGATGTCGCTTCAAACAAACAACAAACTTGTCGCTTCAAACTAACAATGGCCTCCAATATGAGGGTGGACAAGCTAGCTTCTTTTATATCTATTACAAGCTTGTACAAGTCACGACAACATAAATAAAGGCCATGAGTTTCTTTTCTCTGCGCATGCGCACTTTCTCGCCTTCATTCCCATTGGCGCGACTCACGCTCAGGTAATGGCAATCAAAGATTGTAGCCTGTTCACCCTCATATTAAAATAGACTGTAAAGGTAGAACCTTCGGTAGTTCAGTTGCAGCTCCCTTGTCCCTATTTATTTTTACCATGACTGTATCTCTACTTGTTCAAGTTTTACGCGTAGGCTTTTAACAACTATACATGGCTTGCACGTGACGTCAATCCACCCCTCCTTTCTGGTGGTGAAATGTGCCTCGTTAGCGCAGAGGAAGCTATGCTCTCATGCACCCTCCCTCCCTTCCCTTCCCTTCCCTTCCCCCCCCCCCCCCCCCTGAGTACCCCAAGGCCCTCCTTTCTGATGGCAAGATTAACACGGTAGAGGCTATGCTCTCACGAGCCCTTTTCCTCATTGTGTCTGGCCAACTGATGTACATGCAAGCCATGTATAGAAAGGACTGACAGTCAAAATTTAAAAGAATCAAAACATCACAACAAAAAGGTAAAACATATATCATGACTAAACAAAAGACAAAGGATAGCTCACTTTGTAAAACAAAAGTTTTCCTTCGTCCGTTTTTTTATATTTCCCCATCTCAGGGTCTACAAGGTGTCGATTCATTACCAGCTCGTCTGCAACCTATCAATGCTAACCAAGATTAAGTTTAAAACCTATATACCCTTATGAAGCAGAGTCACTGATCTCTATGACAATTGCTGGATTGTGCTTCCCGCTCCCGCGAGTGAAGCCACCGAACGGCCATCTTGCTCGTAGACAAATTGTGTTGCACAAGCTGGCGGCAGCGTGCTGAAGACACGTCTACTTGTTCATCATGTTTCGCCGAAGAAGGTTTTTAAGACCCTGCGTATGCATTGAGACTTGCCGTTGAGAACATGTGAAAAATTTTACGAAAGCGCAGTGCCGCAGGAAAACGGCAGAACTTGAAAGCATGTTCCACCGGCTTTGCGGCAAGATCAAAACTTCCTTGGCACGCCGAAACACTGCATCTCTGTGCCTTCACACGCTTGGATACCAATCAAGAATCAGTGCCGTGGCAAAGTTCTGAAAATGCGTCGCACGTAAATGTCTTTGTATCATATATCAGCCGTAGAGTTCTTGATCGTCCAGCTGTTCCGGCAATTTGTTATCAATAAAGGGGGGAAAACAATCTGTATGGCTGCTCTTATGCACTATTAACCATGGCTATGTTCCAAATCTACTCTAATGGATCACATGGCGGCACAAATAGAGCAATGCTGTGGAGCAAGAATGGTTTTCGATGGCAAAAGTACAAGACGACGAGACTGAAAATCTTTGAGGCTAGGTAATCGGTTAACCAATCACATTTAGGTGAGCCGTGCTCAAAGTTGATGTCCCAAGCAATTGTTGATAATGAGCCCCAGACCACTGATCAGTGATGAGGAGCTGTGTGCGCGGTATTCTGTAAACCGCCTAACGACTTAAAAAAAGACGTACCATACCCCCCCCCCTCCCCCCCTTTTCCGTCGCCACTGGACACTGGATCAAGCTCATTTCTCGACCGCGAGTGCCGTAAGCTAGAAATACAGTTGCCAGAGTAAAGTAAAACGCTGCTTCCAAGGCACACACAGCTCCACGCACATTGAACTCCCAAAACACATCCACACGGCGTCGATTCTTGATTGGTATCCAAGCGAGCGAAGGCACAGAGACGCAGCACTTCTGCGTGCAAAGGAAGCTTTGATGATGCTGCGAGACCGGCAAAACTTGCTTTCGACGAGTTGAGCCTTTTTCCTGCGGCACTGCACTTTCGTAAATATTTCCACGTGTCCTCAACTGCAAGTCTCAACGCTTACACAGGGCCTTAAAAAGTTCTTCGGCGAATGACGACGAACGAGCAGAAAACGTGTCTTTAGCACGCTCCCGCCAGCCTCTGCAACGCTAGCAAAACCGCAATTTGCCTATGAGCAAGATGGTGGTCCGGTAGCTTCACTCGCGCTGCAGCGACCAAGTGGGGCAGAGGCGTATATGCAGAGAGTTTGGCCATTCGTTGAGAAGTGTAAAAGACAAAACGAGGAGGTGCCATTGGCCGAAAGAGGGCTGGGCGTGTTCCAGGACGTCTTCACAAAGTCGATTGTGGCCAACCAGAAGTCAGAAAAAAACCCTGGCGGTGGTAGCAAGAAACTAACTTAATAAGTGCATCGGAGTAACTCTTGGCGACGAAAATATGGCGCATGAGGTGTTTCAATTACGGTCTTCGAAAATTATGGTGGAAGAGCGTGACTAGCGGAACGATCGACATAATCCGTACGTCAGGCGCCGAGGGCCGGGAATCTGCCATCCGGACTGTCACACTGTCTGAGCAAAACAGAGTTGAGCGGCACATTCATTTCTTACATCTTTCTGAATGATCATGATCGAAACATCACGTGCACCCTATTTTCAACCATGAAGAGTTACTAAATTTCATTCTTACGCGCTTATTAAAACTATATACGAACCTTTGATTAAACAGTTTCTCGCTAGCCAGCCAGGGGATTCTTTTAGGCTTCTGGTTGGCCAAGAGAGCATGTCAAGCCCACTTTCTACGTCTGGCACACGCCCTGACTCCCCGCGCCTCCCATTGACGAAACTCTCTATACAGGGCTCTGAAGCGGGGAAGCGCGATCCAGCAATTGTCATAGAGATCACTGGGCAGCATGCACAAAGGGCTTATACCAAGTCATCCAGATTAGGGTACAGAAACACCACATGACTTTGTAGAAGCAAGGTCAGCGGAGCCCAGAATAGCCACGCACCGAAACCTGCGGCGCCAGAAAGACAGCGTACCTAAACGTCCGGTTCCCGTCACTTGTATGATTTGAAAGCAGGAAATGACAACGCGACCTTGGAGAAATGTTATTGATGGCGAGGGACAACCCTTGTCGAACTTTCTTGCCGCGGACTTCGAAACCAAGGTTCTCCGAGCAATGGTGTTCGTGTCATTCAACACCGGCGACAGATAATTCAGTTTTGGGATAAAATAACATTAGGCGGTGCACAAAATATTAGAGACATTAGCGACGTCAGAGGAAAACCACGTGCATGTTCATTCACTTACCTGCTTCAATCAACATCGCCTCTGCAGGCGGCTCTTCCGCGCTCCATCTCACCAAGACAACAGAACCCCGCAGGTCCTTGATGGCGCTGGGCTCCGCCATCAGACGTAGCCCTAGCTCTGTGTCCACAAGGACACGTGTAGGGTACACATCCCATTTCTCCTCCGACAGCCATCGGACTAAAATATGTGACATGTTCTCTCCAAGCCTGCACGCCTGCACTACGAGACTACGAACAACGTGTTGACTTGAAAACAGAACACATTGTTGCCAGCAGAGGCATAGACATTCGCTGTTTTACACGATGGGGAATTACATTTACATAAATGTTTCGGTTTATTAAAATAAGTTTTACATTATTAAGCATGAAAGAATTGTAAGTAATTAAATATGTCGAACTATAAAGTTTACCAATTATTGTGCAAGCCAGTGAGTAGGTAGTTTATATCCAATCCAGTCCCTGACCGCTATTGCGTGCGCTTCGATCCGGTTCGGTCGGTTTAGTGGTTGACGGCGGTTTGGTGTTCGTGTGGGATACCGCTCGATAATCGGGTTTGATCGTTTTGACTATAGCGTAGTGGCGTAGTGTTGGTACATCACTGTCATATCCCTATCTTCTGTTTTTGATCGTGGACGCCTCTGTATGAGGTTGAGCGCAGCATGGGGAAAAGACGGCCGTATAAGCAGTACCTGTGGGACCCTTCTTCCGAAGTGCCGACCCGCACGAAGCATCGACTTCGAAAAGAAGCAGAAAAAAGAAAACGGGAAGCGCTTGTGCTCACATCCAGTGACAGCGAACTCTCCGACTCGGAGCTGAGTCCTGGCATTCCACAAGTGGACAGTCCCGGGAGCGCATCGATGACCGTTCTGGACGAAGAAAATGCAAGTGTAGCCTCAACGTCTGGTCAAAGAAGCGTAGCAAATGAACGTTTCACGGAAGATCCGGTGTCGGAGTCGCCCTCGTCCGAAGGCGAAGACGACCCCCCGAGTTCAGAAGAGGCAGGGGCCAAAAGGGAAACGGTAATATACCTCGCTTTTCACATTGAGTAGAGCTGTACGCATTACGTCGTGCACCCCGGCTGGAAAGTGCTATACGGACTACCCGAAACTCGTATAACAAGAATGGTTACAACAAACTATCGACGCGGTGGCGTGGCTTAGTGGTAAGGCGTCTGTTTTGTAAGCAGCGGTGCCCTATTCGATGGGGTTCGAACCCCTGTGTAAACTTCCTCTTTTTTGTTTTTCTTTTCTTCTAGGACGTTTATGTTTGTTAAGCAATTGGCAATATTTACGACATTTCTTTTTTACAATTAACACTGAAAAAAAAAAAAGGAAACGTTGAGGAAATTTTGCTGAATTAAATGGTATGGGACTCCCTTTCGGGAGGTACGATCGGGGACAGTGGGGCTCGGGTTGCTGGCTGAACGCCGCGCAGTGTCGTGTATGGGGGGAAGGGGCATGTGGGTTAATAGTTTTGTAATTAGCAGCCGCACACTCGCCGCAAAGCGGCGTGAACACAGGCAGGGGGCTGGCGTAACACGTCTCCCGTTGATACACGCGCCGCCTGGAAAGAGTGACCCAAATGGCGTGAGCTCTTCGCGTAGTGAGTATAACCATTTCTGGTCGAGGTGCACTATGTAGTGCGTATAGCTTTACTCTTTTCACGTTGGGTAATGCTATACGAACTATGTCGTGCAGCCTTAACTCTGTGTACAGAAATCTTGATGTGAAATGTAGCCATGCTTCAGGTCTCAAACCATAACATGAGGGGCAAAACCTGGAATTTGGATTTAAAAATGCAGGAAATGTAGGCGGGACACTACAATCCCTACAACACTACTCATAAGGCTATATCTCGAATGGACGGCCGTATTTTTGGAAAAAGAGGTCGCGATTGAGCGAGGCCGATAAACTGCGTGACATCAAGATATCTCGTTTCCTCCTCTCTTCGCTTCGCCCCCTCAAGGCGGCGAGGCGAAGAAGACGCGAGGCCGTTCCGTCTCCTTCTCGTAGAAACAAGACGTAAACATATCTGTCAAGTGCACCTCCTTTTTTCTTAAAAAATACAGTCATCCATTTGAGATATCGCTGAATGAGTGATGTTTTGGTGTTTGTAGCATCCTGTTGCACGCTTTTGCCGCCGTGTTTTGTGGAATTCAGATTTCAGTTCAGCATCCCTTTAACTCGAAATGAACAACACTACAGTGTTCTTGGTCCTGCAAAGAACTTGCTTTTGTTTTCAGCCCTAAACTCAGAAGTACACAATTTTTGTAGATTGATGTCTTTCTAATTCATCTACACAATTCACAGGATGAACCACTGTATCAAGGGGCCAAGCTGACGAGAGCGGAAAGCCTGATAATGGTGATGAGCCACAGCCTGCGGTACGACTCTTCGAAGGAATCAACCGAGAGCCTTCTGAAGCTTGTGGACTCCCATCTTCCGGAGGGAACAGTTTTTCCCAGGTCGAAGTTTTTATTTTTTAAGCATTTTGCTGGGGACGAAGCCAGTAAGGCAATGTATTTATACTGCCCCCAATGCGTATGTAATCTGGGGAAAGTGACTGCATCTCTCTTAGAAGTATCCTGCTCAGTCTGTAGTACTGTTTATAGAGCAGATGATCTTGTGTCGAAGGGTGCTTATTTTGTTTTTTTGGACCTTAAGTCCCAGGTTCGGGACATTTTGTTGAGTGGGAGCCTGAGCACTCCAGGAACGTTGGAGTATGATGTGCAGGACATCACACAAAGCTCTGCCTACCACAGCCTTCCGCTGAAAGAGGGGGATCTCAGCGTAACGTGGAATACCGATGGTGTTCCGCTTTTCGAGTCTTCGAATTACAGCATTTGGCCTTTGCTTCTGCAAGTGAATGTGCTGCCATTTCACGAACGCGTGCAGAACCTGCTGCTAGCAGGTTTGTGGTTTGGCCCTAAAAAGCCAGACATGAACTGTTTTTTGGAGCCATTTGTGGAGGTTATGAATGAACTGTCTTCTGTGGGTGTTCCTTGGACTGATGCTTCTGGCACACAAAAAGTATCTAGAGTGTTTCCAGGGCCATGTACAGTAGATACTGTTGCACGCTGTATGCTCATGAACATGACTCAGTTTAATGGGGCTTTTGGGTGCGGCTGGTGTGAGGCCGAAGGAGAGGTCGTGGAGAAAGGTCGAGGCCATGTAAGAGTGTACCCTGCGGTCGTTGGCACAACACGGTCTCATGAGTCGTTTCTCCATCATTCTGAGAAGGCGGAGAAGCAAGGTGCACCAAGCCATGGTGTTAAGGGTGCAAGCATTCTTTTCGGATTGGCATTTTTCAACTTTGCCTCAGCTTTCGTTGTTGATTACATGCACGCTGTGTGCTCCGGGTTCGTGAGATCCACGGCCTTTATGTGGTTCAAAGGTCGGAGTGGGCAGCACTACCACCTGGGTAGTTTCATGTCTGAAATAGACATGAAACTAAAAGCGCTGCAGCCAATCTGGGAGATCTCCCGACTTCCCAGATCTCTGAAGGACATGAAGTTCTGGAAGTCGTCGGAATGGCGCAGCTGGATGCTTTTTTATTCTCCTGTGGTCCTGAAGGGGTTCCTCCCGAAAAAGTACTTCGACAACTGGCTGAAGTTTGTGCGTATCATGCACTTCTTGTTGAGTCGCTCAGTTCCACTTGACAGCCTTCCACAGGTGAAAAGATCAATGACCGCATTCCTCAAAGAGTTCGAGGAACTCTATGGCCAAGTCAACATGACTTACAACACGCACTTACTCCTCCACTTGATAGATAGTGTGAGACTGTGGGGACCCCTCTGGGGGTACTCCGCATATCCCTTTGAGTCAATGAATGGGAAACTTGTACGACTTGTAAATGGGACAAGATATGTTCAATGTCAGATTATTGATAAGTTTTCAATAATTCGAAGTCTTCCGAAACTGTGGGCAGTCGCCTCCAACCGCAGTGCTGATGACCAGATCGCGGTACTGCTCAGGTCACTGATGAAAGGCTACAACTTGAGGAAGCATGTGGTAAAGAATGGTGCCGTAATCTTCCAAGGAAAGGGTCAACCCGAAGGAGACAAAGTCCTTTTCAAGAAGGTTAGAATTGGTGCCTTCACGTACTGTGTCAAAGCACTGGACAAGTCCCGTAGGAAGAATTCCTACGTGTTTGTAGGGGGCATATTCGGGCAGCTAGTTGCCATTGTTGCTTGGTGCAAGCGGGGGCACACGTCATGTAGCTGTGTCAAAAATGTGACCCTGCGTTTAGAACAACTGAAAGTAAAGGACTTTGTTCTCAGCTCTTTTGGAGCTCTTTCTCTAGTACAGTTTGTTGAAGTGCAACACACTAATGCAATAATCGAAAAGGACGCTGCATCTGTTCAGAAGTGCATAGTTCTTTGCAATTCTTCTCGCACCTGTCTATGCGTTGTGAATGATACCTATGTGCTTGAGTCTGTCTGAAAGCTTGCAGTGAGGAAGGAGCATAAAAACAAAAGCCTCGAGGTGCACCTAAGTACTTCTTATGAGTTGTGAATGCGAAAGCACGTATGCCGCTCTTCGTTCCCTTCTTTGGTCTCCGGCGTACAGCGCGCTGACCTTGGGCGTGGAGCGGTGGAGCCGCTGCCTCGCGGACATAAGATTTAATGAAAGAAAGAATTTAATGTGCCGTTTTCGCGCTTCAAACTGAAGACGTCGGCTCTTTCCATGAGGCAGTTAATGCTTTTGCATTAAAACTTCCCTTTTAGTGCTCCTTCCTTCAGGTGTGATCTCATTGCCGATGCACCTGTCCTGTTCTTAAAGGGATACTACAACGAAATTTCGGCGCTCATTTTTTGGTCTATATGTGCTCAAAGGAGCAGCATCACATCGAACACACCAATATCTTGTTAAAAAAGTCACGAAAAGGAATTTTAAAACGAATTAAACGATTAGCAAAGAGCACCTGGTGGATGTCGCTAACGCCTCGCTTGTAATGCCCGTCTAGGAACCTTGACAGCTATTGACGGAGGTTGTCTCGCCTCCGGCCACGACGAGAGAAGTGGGGCAGCAGGAACTCCCCTCTCCCCGGGAATGCTTTTTGTATGTCGCAGAAGTCGCTATTGTCCCCCTACAAGATTACAGAAGATTAACCCGTCACTCAAAATTCATACAAAAGCAGCCGCTTCGGTGGCTGGAACGACTAGGCCATCCTCTCGACGTCAGCCTAGCCGTAGCTTTGCTCGTCTTGGGACGACCTACGTCACGATTGCGTTGGATGTCACGTGGTCTTCGCTGGGCCTTCTCCGAGCGCTTGCCAGAGTGGGCCGTTTATATCAAAAATACAGCCACCAGGCTCAAAATACAAACGTGCGAATGTCATTTACGGATATTGTGGATCATATTCAACCTATTTTTAAACACGACGAGAATATTTCAAATTTCGTTGAAGTATCCCTTTAAAGGGGCCATTACATGAAAATTAGTTAAGTCGGGTGACTCTTGATATGAAACCCTGATAGGTTGCTCAATATACATACCAACTTTCAGAATTTTTAGAGCTTTACTATTTCAAGAAATTAATTTTTTAATGTTACTCATTTGCATTTGGAGACCAGGCAACATTGTCACAATTCTGACGTATCTGGCCCACAGCAGCCGCATTATGGCGCCCATGAACCACCTGGTTCATGGTTCATGGGTGCCATGGTTCGTGCAGCGTAGTTGCACCGGTTAAATCCTCTCTAATTCCAGGCTTTCGTCTGTTGCTTTGGCTAGTAAATGCTGCAGTGTAACTTCTTTTCACCACATAGGCGAGCAAAGCAAAGCAAGTTAGGACGCAGTGTATACCTCTCAGCGAAGCATTGTACGGCGACACTGTTTTGGGCTATTAATGATAAATATGGCAAGTGAATCGCGGTTGCGACTCTAGGCCTTTTATGTCAGCAGCTGCAGGATGCGAGTGCAACACTTTGAGCAATTCGGCTCTGTGTGCATGCTCGTGAGTGAAAGCATAGTTAAAAAAACATGTTCAAGCATGTTGCTCGTCGCAGTAGGGAAACGGTCAGCCTTGCCGAGTCAGTCTCACTCGAGCCTGCCGTCCCGTCGGCACCTTGATGCTTGCTTTTTTTCTGCTTTCCCGACGCTCCGTTTTTTATTTGTTTCTGGCACAAGTTCTCCACATTAAACTATTGAGCTATCAGTTCTTTAGTGATCTTTGCCGAATCTTCGCCTGCCCTTTGTGACAAAATTACCTCCTCCCCTTTACAAATTAACAATTTTGCTTGCCGCTCTTGGGCAGTGTGAGTATGGCCATCCCTGATCTTCTATGACCAACTGACCCGGGCTCTACCTAGGCAGCTATGGTATTGATTATCCATGGCCCTGGAAACACTTACTAGCTTTGTGCCCTCTTTTTTTTTGACCACTCAGTCGAACTTCCCACAGAGTCATTGTTTTGTTGTTGCGCATGAATATAGCCATTAGTGTTCTTTTGTTTCTTTTTGTTCTGGTTCTTTCCCTTCTCACGATGGTGCCACATGCAATGTCGGTCTTTCTGGATTCGTAGTCACCTCAAGAACCATATAAAAAAAGTGGCTCCTTGCCATTACCTATTTTTTTTCTTTTACATAGTGACCGTATGGTTATATGCATTTACAATGAGTTAGGATTTAGATTGTATCAAAATGGAACACATTTTCAATGAAAAAAAAAAACTTTTTTTTCTCTGACACCCATACCTTGTAAAAACTACTTTGTGCAGCTTATGCACTTTGTGTGAAATGATATTTTCTTGAGGCAGTGATGAGAGTATGCACCTATTTCCAATCTGGGTTTTGGGTAGGCTAATCTCGTCTTAAGTCGTGTGGAAGTGTGAGTAGGCCACCAACCATCTCGGTAAACTGGAGATGTTCATATGTCGGTTTACAACCATTGGTTTATAGTATTTGCTACGAAGAGAGCCAACGTGACTTTTATTGGATAGTATGAATGCACAGGAGTGTTGGATTGAGAGTATATTTGTGTATCATGTTTATAAATGATTCCAAAGAGCATTCATTTTCTGTCTTGCCACAAGTCACAATGCATGTTGTGGCTTAGATATTTACACCATTTTCCTTCTTTTGAGAGATTGTTAGATGGCATTAGGAAGCTTACAGTGCAAATTGACATGTGACAGTTCTGCTGTTTTATAGACTAACTTGTATCTGGCATCATGTCAAGGCAGGTGCACGGACTGTTGGAGCATGTACAGGATCTTTCACTCTTTAAAAAACAAGTTCTTGCACAAGTGCAGTGCCCACAGCTCCTCTGGGCAAATGCATACGTGTTTATAAACAATGATTTGGTGTATATAGAGGAATGTTTTATTATTATTGGATTGCATGGTGACTATCAAGAGACAGCTCCTGCATAGAAACACTAATTCATCTTCACATAAAGGTTGACAAGTTTCTTGTGGCTGCCAAGCGTGATTGATTTTGTTACTTAAAAGATGGAGTGTCCATTGCAATATTGTTCTGTCGTTTCTCCATGTGCATGCAACTAGTAAAGCAATTTTCATACTATGTTGTATTTTGTGTTTCACCATAGAGTAATGCGGCATTATCCTGAGCAAGCTTTGCCCTGTGAATAAAGGATCACTATTTGTTCTTCTTGACTTTTGTTGCATTGTATCATGGTACATTTTTTTAATAGTACCTGTTGATAAAACCGAGAAGTTAGGTTTTATATTTCATAGTTTTGTATAACTGTGCACACACAGAATAGAGTTTGTAGGAAGGTTAATTAAAGCCGCTGCGAAATTTCACTTCTGCTAATTACAGTAAGTATAAATCATTGGCACTTTTATATACATATATTCCCACATACACACTGAAGACAAATCTAGGAACAAAACGTGTACACCTCTATGCAGATTGTGTCACCAGTGTTCCATTTCAAACTCCGAATAGCATGCAGAGTGTGTGAT